GTCACAGTGTGTTAGGAAAAAAAATAATTAAAAAAGAAATAAATGTAATAAAAAATAAAAAAAAAATTGAAAAAATATTTTTTTTTGTACAGTCACCAGTCAGTGTCCTTAATCACTGCCACACCAGTCATATGATGATGCTGTACTGCACTGGTGACAGTATGTAACGAAAAACAATTGTGAAAAAATAACAAGGGAAATGTTTGCTTATAGCAATGAAATTCATTGCTATAAGCAATTATAGTGTGTAAAAAATGTGTTATAAAAACAATCTAAAAAAACTAAAAACATGTACTCACCGCCACACCAATGATGACAAAGTGGTGACAGAATGTAAAATAAAATGTGATTTTTTTTTTTCTTCGTTTTCCACAAAATTATGATAAAAAAATGACAACTTCTAAAAACTCACCATGCCTCTTGCTAATTACTTCAGACTGTCTACTTTGCAAAAAGTGAACATCTTTACCGTCCTTTCATTTTTGGACAGGGAAATGAGGCCGTCAGTACAGCAGGATTGATTGATTTTCAGTCATATACAATAGTCTGTGGACTCTAGAACTTTCCTACACAGACTGAATAACATACACTGATTTGGGTAATTTTCACCAAAGAAATGTAGCAGTATACATTTTGGCCTAAATTTATGAAGAACAATTATTTATGTGCAAAATTTTACAACAGAAACAACATATTTTTTGGACTTTTTCATTTATTTAGCAAAAAATAAAAAAAAAACAGTGGTGATCAAATACCACCAAAAGAAATCTCTATTTGTGTGAACAAAATGATAAAAATTTAGTTTGAGTACAGTGTTGCATGACTGCACAATTGTCATTCAAATTGCAACAGTGCTGAAAGCTGAAAATTGGCCTGGGCAGGAAGGGGGTAAAAACACCCTGTATGGAAGTGGTTAAAAAGGGTGGCTAGACATTTTTAGAAGCATTACAATATTTTTATACTAGTCTTTTGAAACTGTTAATACTCCTAGTTGATACCACTGCCTGGGGAAGGGTATTCCACATCTTTACTGCTGTAATGATAAGAACCCCCCTCCAATGGGTAATTTGCATACAAAATCTTTCTATATTAATCCTATGCCAAGTATCCATCCAGTCTTCTAGTTTTTCAAGGTAATCCAGTTGCAATATCCTGTACTGAAAAAATGTGCATAATTTGGTATCATCATCTTTAAATAGCAAAATTAAACTCCTGATTCCAGGCTTTATGTCATTTATAAACAGGTTAAACAGCACTGGCCCCATTACAAAACCCTGGGGCACACCACTCACCACCCTGTTCTACTTTAAGGCTGAATTTATTACCACTGCTCTCTGCGCCTGTTTGTAAAACCAGTTTTCTATCCATATGCATACAATTGCCTCCACACCTATAGACTCTAGTTTGTAAACTAAATGTTTCTGGGTCACAGTATCAAACATTTTGGTAAAATACAGATAAATTATTACCGTATTACCTTTCTGTCCAAGCTCACTTCCTCATAAAATGCCAACAGTCTGGTTTGACAGGAGCGGCTCTTTAAAAAATCCACATTGGTTGTCCCTAATATTACCATTTTCTCTTAAGAATTCCTTAGCATATCTTCCAACACCTTGCAAACTACTGATGTTAGGCTGATCATTTGGCCTGATGAAGGTTTATCTTTCCTAATATAGGGACCCTTTGTAGTTTATGAAATGTTGGCATTACTATGTGGCATGCCTAACTGACACTAATAAAGGTGGTTTTACTTCAAAGTGTTGTGATGAGTTGACAGTATATTTTCTTCTACTGTCATCCCAAACAGCTATTGCTGTTGCACCCTACAACTGTGGATCTTGTCCAGTCTCCTGTGCAATGAAATATGTGCATGATCAATGAGTGGAAGGAATAGTGCCCCGCTATTGATATCAATTGGGAGAACTGGTGTTTTTTTCTTTTTTTTATGATTGTTGGTGTTAGACGGAATTATGCCCCATCATTGGTGTAAGTAAAAAGAACAGCGCCCCATCATTGTTGTCAGTGAAAGGAATTGTGTCCCATCATTAGCATGAGAGGGAGGAATAATATCACATTATTGGTTTCTGTGAAATTAATAGTGTGCTATTATTGGTGTGCTATTATTGGTGTCAGTGGGAGGAGCAGTGCCCCATGGTCGGTGTCAGTGGAAGAAATAGTTCCTTAATGTTGGTATCAGTGGAAGAATAGTGCCCCATCATTGATGTCAGTGAGGGGAATAGTGCCCCATCATTGGTATCAGTGGGAGGAATAGTGCCCCATCATTGGTGTCTGTGGGAGGAATAGTGCCCCATCATTGATGTCAGTGGGAGGAATAGTGCCCCATCATTGATATCAGTGGGAGGAATAGTGCCCCATCATTGGTGTCAGTGGGAGGAATAGTGCCCCATCATTGGTGTCAGTGGGAGGAATAGTGCCCCATCATTGGTGTCAGTGGGAGGAATAGTGCCCCATCATTGATGTCAGTGGGAGGAATAGTGCCCCATTGTTGGTGTCAGTGGGAGGAATAGTGTCCCATCATTGGTGTCAGTGGGAGGAATAGTGCCCCATCATTGGTGTCAGTGGGAGGAATAGTGCCCCATCATTGGTGTCAGTGGGAGGAATAGTGCCCCATCATTGATGTCAGTGGGAGGAATAGTGCCCCTTCATTGATGTCAGTGGGAGGAGCAGTGCCCCATCATTGATGTCAGTGGGAGGAGCAGTGCCCCATCATTGATGTCAGTGGGAGGAATAGTGCCCCATCATTGATGTCAGTGGGAGGAATAGTGCCTCATCATTGGTGTCAGTGGGAGGAATAGTGCCCCATCATTGATGTCAATGTGAGGAATAGTGCCCCATCATTGATGTCAGTGGGAAGAATAGTGCCTCATCATTGATGTCAGTGGGAGGAATAGTGCCCCATCATTGGTGTCAGTGGGAGGAATAGTGCCCCATCATTGGTGTCAGTGGGAGGAATAGTGCCCCATCATTGATGTCAGTGGGAGGAATAGTGCCTCATCATTGATGTCAGTGGGAGGAATAGTGCCCCATCATTGATGTCAGTGGGAGGAGCAGTGCCCCTTCTTATTGATGTCAGTGGGAGGAGCAGTGCCCCATCATTGATGTCAGTGGGAGGAGCAGTGCCCCATCATTGATATCAGTGGGAGGAATAGTGCCCCATCATTGATGTCAGTGGGAGGAATAGTGCCCCATCATTGGTGTCAGTGGGAGGAATAGTGCCCCATCATTGGTGTCAGTGGGAGGAATAGTGCCCCATCATTGGTGTCAGTGGGAGGAATAGTGTCTCATCATTGATGTCAGTGGAAAGGAGCAGTGCCCCATCATTGATGTCAGTGGGAGGAATAGTGTCCCATCATTGATGTCAGTGAGAGGAGCAGTGACCCATCATTGATAGAAACATAGAAAAGTGATGGCAAAAAAAGACAGAAAGGTCCATCAAATCTGCCTGTTTTTGTTTTTTTTTTTGGAGGGGAGGGGCAGTTGTTTTTGTTTTTTTGTTTTATAGATCTATGCTTGTCCCAAGCATGTTTGAAGCTATATACTGTTGACTGGCTCACTCCCTCTGCTAAAAGTTTTATTCCAAGCATCAACCACTCTCAGCAAAATAATAATTTCTGAGATTAGTTTTAAACTTTCCTCCATTTAGTTTAGGATCATGTCCCCGTGTTCTTTATTTTGGTTTCATGTTGAAAATACTGCCCTCTTGAACCTTATTCACCCCTTGATGTCAGTGTAAACAATATTGCCCCATCATTGATGTCAGTGGGAGGAATAGTGCCCCATCATTGATGTCAGTAGGAGGAATAGTGCCCCATGGTGGGTGTCAGTGAGTTTATATTTGGAGAGGGTGATTGGATAAGTGTCATATTTTTATGTTGTCTTGGTCTTGTGTCTGTGAGACAGGAAATAATTGGGAAACAGACAACAAAAAAGAGAGAACTTACCCTTCCCTACTTACACATACAAGGGGGCAGGTTTCACACTTTAGGTGCATTAACACACCCACCTTACGTTGTGCTTTACCATGCATTGCATTAGGGCAGGCATGTCCAAAGTCCGGCCCGCGGGCCATTTACGCCCGGGGGTCGGTTTAATACGGCCCTCCAACAGCCCTCCCTGCCCTGTGTAATGTGGCCCTCCCACGGCCCTCCCTTCTATGGCAGACAGTCTTCTGCTTGAGAGCAGAGGGCAGTGCGCATGCCTGACTGCGGCGCGTTCTCCCTGGTCTGTGTAAATGCGGCTGTCGCACGGCCCTCCCTTCTGTGGCAGACAGTCTTCTGCTTGAGAGCAGTGTGCATGCGTGACTGCGCCGCGCTGGGAGCGACAGAGGGCGGTGATGTCAGGGCCGGGCTTCCAACGTGAAGTGTGTTTCTCTTCCCCTCCCCGGCTGCCGAGCAGAGACTTCAGCTCCAGCTACCTTTTTCACCCTTCACATTAGTGCAGGTAAGTTTTTTTTAAATTTATTTTCAATACATTGTGAAAACTCAGCTGTCAGTTGATCTTAATGTTATGAAATGAAAAGTATGTCGTTTGCAATTAACTTGGCATAAAATAATTTATTTGCATTTAATTGTAATGGTTCAAAGAATGTTCGGAAAAATGTTCGGCCCTCCACCATGTTCACTTCATCCAATCTGGCCCTCTTTGAAAAAAGTTTGGACACCCCTGCATTAGGGCAACCCATTGATTTGGAATAGACTGCCAACATACCCCAGCTAGGCCAAAACCACACATTTTCTAGGAGTGGTAGAGATAGAGTTCTGATGTGTGTTGGTTTGTATAGCATTTACCCAGAGAACTAACACTAGAATAAATATAAAATGTTACATTCTGCCAAACAGAACCCGTTATCTCAAACTCTCTGCATGACTATTACTGGAATTTTATACAAGGCAGCTTAAACATTAAGCATCCCTTTAAACAAGGTGTTTATAGGTAGACAATAACTAGGGCACATGGCATTGGTAATAAAAAATCTTTACCTATTACCCAGGAAATAATGAGCAGCTCCATCCAGGAGAAGCACGACGTTTTCATTCTAAAAAGCTGCTTTGCATTATCTGTGATGCTCTCGTTTGGAAGGATCTTGGTGCCTTCGAACCTGTCGGCGGCATTCATCACTAGCAGACCAAGGAATATGGTAAATGAGGCTGCATGGGCTACAAACTTCATGAACGGACCACGCATTATTTTACCAAGCTGTAAAAGATAGGAAAGCGTGTTAACAACAGCACAAGATGCCCCAATAATAACCTGAGATGTATTGAGAAATCCGCTCCACCATTCTGTCATCAATTTGCATGATCAATTCCCATAATCCTGTTCATACAGCCAAAATTGTAGTATTTCAAGTACATGTCAATAAATTTGGGAAGAATATTTAAAAAATATATTTAAAATATATTTTTATTCCATGTGGGTAACCTTATAGTAATCTAAATATATACTTGGTGTGCATCTCTACATTTATAGCAATACAATACAAACTTGTGAACCCTCTCAATACAAAAAAGGCTAACAAACCACAACTTTATAATAAATAAGTGCAATCTGCCATATGAAAAGTGAAACCAAACACTGGAGGGGAATGCTTCATTGCCCTGACGATGCTGATTGGTGGCGAAACGTGTTGGGTAGGGCCTAGCCGGTGATGCCATAGACATGCTGACACTCGAGGTCTTGGTGTCTGCTAATTATGTGCTCCTATACTTCTTATGTTTGTGAGTATATGTCTGCTTATTTTAAATAAAAAATTGTTTTACTATATAACACCATTGCGGACCTTTGATCTCCTCTTTCGGAGGGAATATCCATTTATTGCACAAGAAGATTCCTTCTGGTGTCTGTCACATTATGCTGAAGAGGCGGTGAAAGTATCCTATCCGTGAGATGAGTGCTGAGTACGAGCGCACAAGCGTGTATCGATCTCTGGAAAGTCAGATCAATATTTTTGGTAACAGGCCGATCATTTATTTGGTGGAGGTATCACGTTTGCTCATCACGTTTCAAGATTTGATTGAATCTCTATATGTTGGACTGAACACATTTTCACTTTTCATCTGTCAGGTTTTACTTTTCATATGGCGGATTGCACTTATTTATTATAAAGTTATGGTTTGCTAGCTCTTTTTGTATTGAGAGGGTTGACAAGTGTATATTATATTGCTATAAATGTAGAGATGTGCACCAAGTGTATGTTTAGAACACAATGTAAAATTAATGTGCCTTTTACTTTGTCTGTACAAATACTCCTGATAAATCAATAAAATGTCTGTAAAAAAAAGCTACAAGCACACAGTGGGGGAGATTTACTAAAACTGGAGCACTCAGGATCTGGTGTAGTTGTGCATGGTAGCCAATCAGCTTCTAATTTCTTCTCGTCTTCCCCCCCTGCCCGCGCCCCCCCCCTCCCCCCATCCTATCCATCACTACTAACATCACCACCATCAATCCCGCCCCGCAAGCCAAAGTCCTTGGAGTCATTCTGGACTCTAACCTCTCCTTCCAATCTCATGTCAAATCACTTACAAACACATGCAGGCTTCACTTCCGCAATATCGCCAAAATACGCACCTTCCTTACCCCAGACACCACTAAACTACTCGTACACTCCCTGATTATCTCACGCCTTGACTACTGCAACTCCCTCCTTACCGGCCTACCCCAGTGCAGGCTCTCCCCGCTTCAGACCATCCTGAACTCAGCGGCTAGACTCATCCACCTCACCAACCGCTTCACCTCTGCCAGCCCCCTCTCCCTATCCCTCCACTGGCTCCCTATCGCCCAACGCATCAAATTCAAACTACTCACTCTGACCTACAAAGCCATTCAAAACACTGCCCCTAACTACCTCACCGACCTGATTCCCAGGTACCACCCTACCCATACCCATCGATCTTCACAGGACCTCCTTCTATCTTGCTCCCTGGTCTCCCACGCATGACTGCAAGACTTCTCCAGGTCCTCCACCATCCTCTGGAACTCACTACCCCAATCCATCAGACTGTCACCTTCCCTCCTCACCTTCAGGCGCTCCCTGAAAACCCACCTTTTCAGGGAAGCCTACCCCACCCTCACCTAACTGCTGCTCTCCTTCATTCCTCCTACCACTCCATCCCCCACAGCCACTTCCTCCTGTACCACTACCCCCCTCCCTCCTAGATTGTAAGCTCGAAAGAGTAGGGCCCTATAACCCCTCGTGTGGTGTTTGTAGTTGCTGTAATGTTTCATGTATTGTCCCCCCCTCTATTGTACAGCGCTGAGCAAACCCTTTGGCGCTATATAAACTCGATATAATAATAATAATAATAATAATAATAATAATTTCAGCTTGTTCAGTTAAGCTTTATCAATAAAATCTGATTGGTTTCTATACAGAACTATTTTGCACTTTCCAGTTTTAGTAAACTGTATTTTTGAACATATATTTTATACATTTGCATTTTTAAAGCAACAAAACATGTATTGCACATACTGTATGTATACCAACGCTCTACAGAGCATAACATGTACTTGTGGTGTAAACGGGTCTAAGCCCTAAACCTAACCATTACCCTAAACCTACTCCAGGCCCTAATGGCCCTTTCACACTATACAATTTAATAGGCCTGCCATTGTTTTTAGTAGATTACACCTTGGCCAAGAAAGTTAAAGTGTTACTAAGCCCAGGACCCTGCATTCACTATATCTGGTCTCCCACAGTACACGGAACATGGAAATGCAATTAGTTTAGTAAATTTAAACTGCTAAATACCTTTTCTCATCAGAAGTTAGAACAGTCTTGTGACTTCAGCAGATCACTGGTTAAAGCTTGTAGGAGGAGTTTTCTTTCTGCTCTAGGAGGATGCAGAACCCCCGACCTCTGTCTGGACCAGGGGCGGACTGACCATTTGGAAACTCGGGCACTGCCCGAGGGCCTGGGGTCAGTAGGGGGCCCCATGAGATGTCACTGGTACCTTTTTCATAGGCTTTTTTGAGTTTGGGCAAGGACACAGGGGCCCCATGATCCCCTATTGCCTGGGGGCCCCATGAGTTGTCAGTCTGCCCCTGGTCTGGACAGTGCTGATTGGCCCTGTGTTGATCACATGCACCCTCCCAAAAAAAAAAAAAACCTCTGTTGCAATACACACCAAACTGAGCATGTGCATGTAACTATACAGACTGATTTTACTGTTGTGGGTTTAGTAACACTTTCATTTCATTTTTGATGTATCAATGCTCATTAAAGGGTATATTGATAGGAATGGCGGTGCACACCATGACAACGCACATGCCTAAAGATGCAGAGGTGTGGCGTCTTGGATCCTGCTGGGGCCAGGGGGGGGGATAAAATGAGCGCCTGGGGGCCTTTGGCCCTTAAACCCAGAATGAGAGAATGTGATTGGGACTATTGGCCCTATCAGAGTAAAACATTCTGGATTTGTTCTTGAGTTCTGAAATAATAATTAGTTCATCCATCTAACAGAAACATTGTAATGCATATGGTATAGTTACAGATCTTTGCTTTTAATAGTGGATCACAGCCAACGGCTGTTTGTTTTTGATGGATGCATTTACATGAGCCTTCTGTGATTGTTATATATTTAAATGCAGAGAAATTAATTGGGGAAACATTGCACTTACAGCCAGGTGTTTATGTTCAGCAGGATATCTGTACAAATCAATGGCAGGCTGATGCTGTCTGTTGCTGTTTGCATTTAATCGCTCAAAAAGTGATGACGTGCTGCCAGGGACAGTTTGCTTCCAGGGCCGCTCATCTGTCCCTGACTGCTCCATGTACAACTTGTACAGGCTGAGTGGCCGCGGGCTGAACACAAACACCTGGCCATACACACCACAGAAATACACTGAATTAGACAGTCTACAGCCTTGGATGGCTGTGTGAATGAGCCCCTGGTGTACCTGCGTTTACACACTTTCACATTCTCTGTCCTGGAACACACACATTTCTTTTTTCTGAAACCTGAATGCATACAAGCAAATGCACAGTTTGCTAATTACCATTTAAAATCATTACCTGCATTAACCACTTCCAGTCCGGGCACTTTTACCCCCTTCCTGTCCAGGCCAATGTTCAGCTTTCAGCATTATCACACTTTGAATGACAATTGCGCGGTCATGCAACACTGTACCCATATGAATTTTTTTAGCATTTTTTTGAGACAGATAAAACTTTATTTTGGTGGTATTTATTCACCACTGGGATTTTTTTTTTTGCTATATAAATGAAAAAGTCCAAATTTTTTTTTTTAAAAGTGTTTTTCATAAAAACTTTTGCAAATAAATAATCTTTCTTCATAAATCGTGTCCAAAATTTATTCAATAATCTTTTTAGTAAAACAAATAACCCAAATTAGTTTATAACCAAAAATTATAATTCTTCAAAAAATGTTTTAAATTTTTATTTTATTTATTTATATTATTATTTATATGGGTTTTTTTTTTTAACATACTTTCACCCTAGCAGTACAGTGTCATGATAGTGACACTGTACTACTTGTGGGGGGTGATGAAGATTTTTTTTTTACACCCATAAAGTCTGTAAAAGCAATCATTTCTTCTCCTGTGAGGCTGCATTCTTGCAGCCATTGAGAAATACCGTGTGAGCTGTAATTGGTCACAGCTTGTCACATGGTAAAACGCTGTTGTGAATAGTGCTCATTCACAGATTTCACACATAGTAAGCAATGGTGTCAGGAAGTGACATCTTGCTTATACCTATTCATGTGATCACTGATTGGCCAATCAGTGATCACATGATCGGGGCCTCACACAGAGGTCCCGTACAGCAATCGGTGTTCCGCTGTGTACTCCGGACACAGCCGGCACCGGATCCTAGGGAGCGCGCACAGTCCAAAATGGTGGGTGCCGTTTATGAACGGCAACCCACCCCTGCACTTTCACCGTCCGACCGTTTATATACGGACGGGAAGTGGTTAACATGCTCTTAGACATGCCCTGTAAATACATGTATGTCACTGTCAGTGTGAATGAGGCTTCATCAGCCCATAGATTGCTGGTTGAACTAAAAAAAAAGCTGACCTGATTCACCCATTCACTTCGAGCGTGTGGATGGGGGAATATTGTCAGTAGTGTTTTTAAATTGATGTAATTAAGATATGTTAATACTTTTAACATTTTTATTGTGCCTATCCCGCCCTCTGCTAATTCTGGTATCCTCTACTTTTCCAGCCACTCCATCCCCCACAGTGACTACCTACTGTACCACTCACCCCGCCCTCCTAGATTGTAAGCTCCAAGGAGCAGGGCCCTCAAATTCCTCTTGTATTGAACTGTATTGTCTCCCACTAATGTAAAGCGCTGAGCAAACTGTTGTAACTATAAATTATTATACAAATCCTGTATAATAATAATAATAATAATAATTGTGTGTATATTTGACCATAAATGTGCTACTGGTCAGATCAACAGGTGCAAATAAAGTAAAAAATGCTTAAAAAAGAAAACTAATGCAGCCATCACATCTAAGAATTGGTAGGCTTCAATATATGACATTTTTATTTTTGGGTTTAATACCACTTTAAGCACCCTAAACATCTTTTATTGTTTGTTGCATAATAGTTTAGATAATAGTGGCATGCAGCAATTTTGATACGTACAGATCGGTTTGCTCATTTCAACTAATAATCTGACATGATACAGGGCTGATATAAGGTGGCTATAGTCTGGCTTCCCCCTAGCAAGCTAATTACCATGGCAACCGTCAGGATGTTAGCTGGGGTAGTTAGATCCTGAGAGCTATTGAAACATCAGCAATTTATTTACATACAAATTATAAAAGTAAAGATACATATTTTCACCTGCAGGAATCATGCTGCCACCTGGCTCCTATTAAGTCTGCATTTTAAAAAACATCAGAATTAACATATTCATGGAGACGGGATTTTATTTAAAGGAAACCTGCCATGAAAGTAAAATGTCTGCTGACCTGAAAATACTAATTGTCTGGATGTCTTTGGCTTTAGACAATGACTCAGAAATTGTTGGAACTCCTGATCTATATACTTTGGTCTAGGTCAGCACTGGATTAGTTTGATGGCCAGGCAACCAGCACTGACAGAGGCAATGATCAACAATAAGGGTGAGCATGGGTTGGACCGAACCCAAAATCACTCCCACCAAATCAGCACCCAGTCATTCACTGCCAGGGCGTTCCATGTCCTGCGTCTGCACATAACAAAGGGGTGGAGTTGCTTGTAATATCATTGACCTAATATGGCCATATTTGGCCACATATAGCCATGTTGCCATATTAGCTCATTACTGTAAGTTGGGGCCAAACCCATTTTTGATTTGATGCCAGGCAACCAGGACATATTTTTGGCAATGACCATGAACCTAATGACTGTAAGTAAGTTGGGGGCACTGACAGAGGCAATGATCAACAATAGTGGTGAGCAGGGGCGGACTGACCATTTGGAAACTCGGACACGGCCCGAGGGCCCGGGGTCAGTAGGGGGCCCCATGAGATGCCCTGGTACCTTTTTCATAGGCTTTTTTGAGTTTGGGCAAGGACACAGGGGCCCCATGATCCATGAGTTGTCAGTCCGCCCCTGGTGGTGAGCATGGGTTGGACTGAACCCAAAATCATTCCCACCAAATCAGTACCCAGTCATTCACTGCCAGGGCATTCCCTGCCCTTCATCTGCACATAACAAAGGGGTGGAGTTGCTTGTGATATCATTGACGTAATATATCCATATTTGGCCACATATAGCCATGTTGCCATATTAGCTCAATGACAGAACCTAAGTTTGGGCCAAACCCATTCTCATCCCCAGTCAGCAATGAGAAATGTGGAATGGCTCTCACACTTGTGAATGGATATACAGGAAGTAGCATTCTGTGCACTACAAGTACCAGCATTCATGTCCCTGAGGAAACTCATCCCTGCCCTCTCAACCTCTGTTTATCCAGACAATTGTCAGCAACAACAGCCAATAAGAGCAGAGAATAAGCTGGGGTGGGCTACTTGTCTAAAAATAGTACAAGTTATGGCAAATAACAGACCAAAAGTAAGAGATTGAGAGGGATGTATAAAGGTCTCACTTTTATGATCCACATTTCATTGAGTTGGACCTGGGGGTGGGGGGGTGGTATACATTGATGGGGGTTAGCAAAGCTTCCAGTGCAACTATTATTATGAAGGTAACTGGAGAGTGTGGAGTGCACCACATTATTATTATACAGGATTTATTCAGCGCCAACAGTTTGCTCAGCGCTTTACAATTTAACGGGAGACAATACAGCAACAATACAGTTCAATACAAGAGGGATAGGAGGGCCTGATCCTTGGAGCTTACAATCTAAGAGGGAGGAGCTAGTGGTAGAAAAGGTAATAACTGTGGGGGATGGATTGGTAGGAGGAATAGAAGATTTGTTTGTTAGCTGAGGGCAGGATAGGCTTCCCTGAAGAGATAGGATTTCAGAGATCACCTAAAAGTGAGCAGAGTAGGCGATAGTCTGATAAATTGGGGTAGAGAGTTCCAGAGGGTGGGGGAAGCTCTGGAGATGAGCATGGGAGGAGGAGACAAGGGAGCTAGAGAGCAGGAGGTTGTGCGAGGAGCAGAGAGTACGGTTTGGGTGATATTTGGACACAAGATTGGTGATGTAATTTGGGGCAGAGTTATAAATGGCTTTAACAAAACAGATAGACCTGTTTCAGTTTCTGTTCCAGAGTGAAATGGAAACTGGAGGGATCTGCCCCTAATGAACATATGAATCATGTAGGTTTCCATGCAGGGTCCTGTACATAGATATCTGAAGATATCTGAGAGCCCTCAGTCCTGATGCAAGCAGTGGGCTGGCTCTTTCAAGGAATTATGTAAACTCTGAAATGCCTTGATGAGCACATGTGAGTCTAGAGGAGTGGGCTTGTAGTCTGAATTCTCCACAGCAGGTGACACTCAAATGCAGCGGCAATGCAAATTGGAGGAAGTTGAAAGAAAATAAGTTCCTCTATGATTTCCTCGGCCACATCAAGGCAGGCAGTCAATTGAATGCTTGTGCCCCATATGACTCTGGTGGCCATCTTGGGTAAAGCAGAGTCTATTTAAGACCCTGACCCCTGAGTTTGGCGCATGTTATGCAAGTGGCTAGTGTAGGGACAGGTTCCCCATCTGTCAGAGACAGTTCTAGGTGATAGAGAAAGGTTGCAGAGGAGAAGGGAGAGAGCAGGAACCACGTCTACCTCTACAGGAAGCTTCCCCTTTGGGTTAGACTGGCCAGGCCCCATTCCGCTCCTTGTGGAAGACACTATTGGCATCTCCAGGACTTTACACCTCTGTCTCACTGCTGTGTGATTGTAAGTGGCACTGGATGGGCAAACCTCCCCGCCAAAGCTGTTTGTACTTGCCAAATTTCTTTTACAATATGTTGCTTTTGACAAATTGGGACTCTGTATGCTTACTGCCTGCCATACCATGCTGCACCTCCCCCCCACAAGTATTCCTAGGTAAACTGTATATACATGCAGACTGCCCTAAGTAACGCTTGCATGATGCTGAACGTCCAGGATTGAAAGAAATAAAATCCAGTAATGGAAGGGGCAGTCCAAGGACTGCCAGGCTCGGGAGGGAATAAATTAGATGAGGCTGGACTTCCTCCAGTCTGGAAAAGAGATGGGCTTTATCTGACCTGCTGCAGCTTCTAATGCACATTGTGAGAAGTTCACAGTGTAGAATGAAATCAGAGAAAACATTTTCAGTACAGGAGAGGAATCTGTACAACTATGCAAGACTAAAGGGAAGGCTGAAGTTCATATTTAACTATGTTCAAGAGCTATGGATGACTAAAGTGTCTTCTTATACAATGTTTCTGAGAATTTCAGATGCCTGCATCCCCTGCCATGCACTGTATTTCCTTCTTTGGACAACCTTTGTCAGTTCTGTAGAAATATGCAGCAGAAGTAACTACAATGCTCAGCAAAGAATGAGGCATCCTACACAACTGTAAGTATTGAATGTGAAAATTCTTCAGGTGGCTGCAGTTCTTGAACAGAGTGAAGATTGGAGGAATGAACCCCAGAAGGGTCTGTATAAATACCTTACTTTTACAGGATTTTTGACATTGTTTAACCTCTTGACAGCGGCTATAGGGTGGGCCTTAACGCCAAGTGGCCACATTTATGTGGCCCTGTTAAAACTACTTATTGTGCTGAGAGCGCACTCCCTGCTCGCTCCCAGCACAGTAGCAGGTGATGGTTGGTAAGATCCCAATGCATACTTGCGATCAGGAGCTTTCTGATCATGTGACCACCTCCCGGCTTTTAGGACCCTTAAAGGGCCAGGAGACAGTCAGCGACAAAGGGATACCTTGGCAAGAAACTAGCTTTATTGCTCTATTACGTTTAGTGCCTTTAAGCTCATATCATCGTGGATTCATGGTGTCTTGGTGGCTTCTTGGATTTATTTTCAACTAGGAAGGACATTTAGGAGGGAATATTCCACCAAAAACATTAGCTCTAGCATGCATACTAGTCCTTAATCTTTATCACAATATTACAATCTGCAGACAATGCAGTAATTGCCTTACCTTGCTGCATGGGGCAAACCAGTAAACCATGGCAAGAAACGGGAGCCCAAATGCGACAGCCAAAACAACCAGAAATTTTACAGCTGTGGTCTGCTGTCTCAGGCCTGATAGATTTTCATACCAGATTGATAGAAGTTGCTGCTGACAGTTCGGATGAGCTACAAACTTAAAAGAAGACACAAGTGAATGGATATTTTGGAGTTTTTACTTCTTTACAACACAGTATATAAACAGACATCAAACTGTGTTAATTAGATTTTGCAGGTGCTACAGTGAGCCTGGGGCAAGTGACATTGAAAGGTGGAGTGTAATGGTGTCATCACACTGCGCCCACTCTACTTCTGTCATTGTAAACCAGAGCACAAGAACACTACAGTCACACATCAAAATGTACCATTACTACTCACTTGAGGACACACACACATCCTAATTTTAGGAATTCTCACAAGCATAACTGATATAAACATGGGGACCTCATAAAAATACAAGCATGTTTTTAGAATTATATATATATATTTTTTTTTTAATTGCATTGCGCTTCTGTTTTTAATACCAAAATATTGCTTAAACAATTTACAATTCATATAAAGAGATACATACAGTTGCAAGAAAAAGTATGTTAACCCCTTGGGATTATGTGGAGTTTTACATGAATTGGGCATAAAATGTGCTCTGAACGTCATTTAAGTCACAACAATAGAAGAACACAGTCTGCTGAACATAATACTACACAAACATTAGATGTTGCCATGGTTTAATTGCACATAACATGTAAACATTCACAGTGCAGGGAGGAAAAAGTATGTGAACCTTTGGACTTAATAACTGGTTGACCCTCTTTGGCAGCAATAACCTCAACCAAACGTTTCCTGTAGTTGCAGATCAGACCTGCACAACGATCTGGAGTAATTTTGGACCACTCTTCTTCACAAAACTGTTTCAGTGTAGCAATATTCTTGGGATGTCTGGTGTGAATCGCTCTCTTAAGGTCATGCCACAGCATTTCAATCGGGTTGAGGTCAGGACTCTGACTGGGCCACACCAGAAGGCGTATTCTGTGCTGTTACAGCCATTGTTTTGTTGAATTACTTGTATGCTTTGGGTCATTGTCCTGTTGCATCACCCATCCTCTGCGGAGCTTCATTTGGCGGACAGATGGTCGTACGTTTTCCTGCAAAATGTCTTGATAAACTCTGGAATTCATTTTCCCATCAATGACAACAATCCGTCCAGGCCCTGAGGCAGCAAAGCAGCCCCAAACCATGATGCTCCCTCCGCCATGTTTTACAGTGGGGATGAGGTTTTGATGTTGGTGTGCTGTGCCTTTTTTTTCTCCACACATAGTGTTGTGTGTTCTTCCCAAACAACTCAATCTTGGTTTCATCTGTCCACAGTATATTTTGCCAGTAGTGCTGTGGAACATCCAGGTGCTCTTTTGCAAACTTCAAACGTGCTGCAATATTCTTTTTGGACAGCAATGGCTTCCTCCGTGGTGTCCTCCCATGTACTCCATTCTTGTTTAATGTTTTCCTATTGTAGATGTGTCAACAAAAATGTTAGCATGTGCCAGAGATTTCTGTAGGTCTTTAGCTGACACTCTGGGATTCTTCTTTACCTCATGCAGCATTCTGCGCTGTGCTCTTGCAGTCATTTTTACAGGACGACCACGCCTAGGGAGAGTAGCAACAGTGCTAATCTTTCTCCATTTGTAGACAGTCTGTCTTACCGTGGACACTTGAACATCAAGGCTTTTGGAGATACTTTTGTAACCCTTTCCAGCTTCATGCAAGTCAACAATTCTTGATCGTAGGTCTTCTGAGAGCTCTTTTCTGCGAGGCATGGTTCACATCAGACAATGCTTCTTGAAACCAGTAAACCCAAAACAGGTGTGTGTTTTTTAAGGGCAGGACAGCTGTCAGCAACACATCCAATATCATCACACTGATTGGAGTCAAGGTTGGCTCAGTCCTGGCTCCAATTAGCTCTGGGAGAAGTCATTAAGCTAGGGCCTCACATATTTTCCTCCCTGCACTGTGAATGTTTACATGTTATATGCAATTAAACCATGGCAACATCTAATGTTTGTGTAGTATTATGTTCAGCAGACTGTGTTCTTCTATTGTTGTGACTTAGATGACGTTCAGAGCATATTTTATGCCCAATTCATGCAAAACTCCACGTAATTCCAAGGGGTTCACATACTTTTTCTTGCAACTGTACAACACAAAGGTTTTGACTATTGCCACCAGATTCCAGCCATCATGTTTACCAAATTAAGCGAGCTATCACTTTGTAGTGAAAGTTCTGCTTATCCTCCTTCTTACTCTAACAAGATTGGTGTCTTTCTCGGATCAGGTATGCTGTTCTGACAGGTACCCACTCCTACTTTAAGCCATCATCAGAGTTAACATTAGCTCCCCCCCCCCAGGCTGCCTGCAACCGCCTGGAACATATTACATGTCACAGGAGGTTGCAGGACCAGTGTGAAAGAGCCATGAAATCTTGCACATGCTCAGTGGGAAACCAGATGTGAGACATTAGGAAATTAAATATGAGCGTGACAGTGTGCAGTGCTACTTGATAAATATTGATTGAAAAAATGAATAGCATAGTCTACACATACATGTGTCCCTCATCCGAAAGTGAACATTACATATAAATGCAGATGATTGGTGCAAAAAATAACAAGTGACAGTACTGGCCGCAAGAAAACAACTATAAAGTGTTAGTGACACAAGTGAATAATCAAATGCTGATAAATGGAAACAGTGATTTAGTCCCAAATGCTAACTCCAAAAAAGTATGAACAACTCAATCCAAAAACTGACTCAGTTCCACGGAAAAAAAAAAAAATAAAAAAAAAATAAATATATATATATATATATATATATATATATATATCAATATCAATAAATTAAAAATAAAAAATAAAAATAGTTCCCAAAGACAAATTCCTAAAAAACAGTGAATCTTCAGTGCATGTATAATAAAGGATAGTGAGCGCTCCTAAAACAGCTGCTAAAACACCAAAAAGGTACCAATAAAAAACCTTCAATATAAATAACAAGATAGAGGTGTAGCGCTAAAAGATAAATAATGATATAAAATATAAATAATATATAGTAATCAATAAAACTCATATGCATATGATACAGAGAATGTCCACATGTGAAGTTCACATATAAATAATTAAATGCTTATAAATCCCAGGATAAACTCAGCAGCAGACTGACTTGTGACTCCAATCAATAGTTAAAGTGCGCACTCACCGGAAGCACATGGATAATGCGCATATAATATAAACCCTCAAGGTAAACAGGATATTCAGGTGAACCTTTATTCTATGGTGCAGTCATCAAGTCGTTGGGAATAGTAAAGAAATCTGCTGGATCCTGAAGTCCCCTTAAGGATGGATTAGGTGCTCAGCCTGTCTACCTCCCTCTGATGAAGTGCCATTGCACGAAAGGCCTCAGGAGGAACCAGACAGCACGTGACATCATCGCTGCCTGGAGCTAGGAGGAAGCGTGGTGGCCATTTTAACTGAGGGTTAGTAATCTATATGTGGATGTTACTATACCCTGCTGTATTTACTGATACTTTAATAAAAAAAATATTGAACCTACTACACTATGGGCACCTGTTTTGTGGCTCCTTCATGGAGCTATTAAGCCTACAGGTTACCCCAGAGATACAAGTGTGACCAGAGGAAAAGGAGCCCTGTACTCAGGCTGAGCACCTAATGCATCCTTAAGGGGACCTCTGGATCCAGCAGATTTCTTTACTATTCCCAACGACTTGATGACTGCACCATAGAAGAAAAGTTCACATGAATATCCTGTTTACCTTGAGGGTTTATATTATATGCGCATTATCCATGTGCTTCCGGTGAGTGCGCACTTTAACTATTGATCGGAGTCACAAGTCAATCTGCTGCTGAGTTTATCCTGGGATTTATAAGCATTGAATTATTTATATGTGAACTTCACATGTGGACATTCTTTGTATCATATGCATATGAGTTTTATTGATTACTATATATTATTTATATTTTATATCATTATTTATCTTTTAGCGCTACACCTCTATCTTGTTATTTAATCTTCAGTGCATGCCGTGACACATCCCGTGCTGCAAACATATACGAAATAATGCTCCACCGGCTAGCATGTGCGCTCTCCGGATATGACGTCACCATGCTTCCGTCCAGGATGGAAGCGTGGTGACGTCATATCCAGTACGGACAGCAGCCGCCATCTTGGTACTCCCATTCACATACACCTCCCTGCAGTTTTTTTTACTGCAAGAATTTTGCTTATGTTGGTCTAAGGACCTATTTTAAATGTAAGTAGGAATTTGTAGATGCTATTTGTAATACAGTTTATGGCATATTACACTATGGGAGTCTTCTTGCTTACATCTTCTATGTGAGATACTGGGGATGACAGAGGTCTGCGGCCATTGCTGGAGCATCCTTGTGAGTGTTTGTCGGCGCCATTGGAGAGGACCGGTGGCTCTTTGATTGTACCAAGGATCGATTCCCTGAAAATTATCGTTTGAGGCTTTCTATGATGTGTGACCCCTTGTGGGTCGAATTTTGAAGGTGAGCGCGCATGCTAGCCAGTGGAGGATTATTTCGTATATGTTTGCAGCACGGGATGTGTCACAGCATGCACTGAAGATTCACTGTGTTTTTTTGGAATTTTTCTTTGGGACTATTTTTATTTTTTATTTTTATATATACATATATATATATATATATATATATATATATATATATATATTTTATATAAAATGATGATCAACTCAATTCAAAAAGTGACTCAGTCCCACAAAATATATATATATATATATATATATATATATATATATATATATATATATATATATATATATATATATATTGTTCATCATTTTTTGGATTGAGCATTTGGGACTAAGTCACTGTTTCCATATATCACCCTTTGATTATTCACTTGTGTCACTAGCACTTTATAGCCTTTTTTCTGCAGCCAGTACTGTCACTTTTTATTTTTTGCACTAGTCATCTGCGTTTATATGTTATGTTCACTTTCGGATGATGGACACATGTATGTGTAGTCTATGCTATTCATTTTTTCACTCAATATTTATCAAGTAGCACAGCAACCTGTCACGGTCATATTGATTTTTCACTATTTTGGAAAATAGTTAGGTGTCTGCGGCCACTTTATTTGGTTTTCGCTATTTTTGGGGTTACTTGGGGTAGGAAGGTAGCACAGGAGGATCGTCTCTATACTATTAGGAAATGAAAGCCTGCTCCAACATCCAAGATGGTGGTGCCCAACGAAGGATCGCTCCAGTGACAACACTACTGGACTCCTGGGTTCAAAGTTGACTTTTTGCTAAAATTCAACAGCTACAGTAATTGTAGCTGCTGACTTTTAATTTTTTAAAACAGAACCAAAATTCCTCTTTTAAAATCACACACCAGATACTGAATGGACAAGGTGGAGATCATGACATCAACACCCTGCCTCGTTACCACATCCAATTTGTGAACGTTTTGCAGTCCTTAAGAAGATGCAAAGTTTTCTCTGAATGGTGCCCAAAAGGGCAACCTTGTTCACTAAGTAGCAGAGCAGCTGCTCGGCAAGGAACCTGGAAGCCGGCGACAACCACTGCTATTGCAGTGTCTTCTACAGCGATATCCAGCTTTCTATGCCTGCTATGATGTATGCACACTTACAGTGGTCCAAGCTGGACTAATGTAGCTATGCAAAAATAGGCAAACCTGGAATTCAGCTTTCATCCTTTGATCGAGGTTCAGCAGCCAGCAGCCTTATATTAAAGCTTATGGGTGGAACTGCAGCTTTCTGTCATATTATTCTGCATGCCCCCCACTCCAGTGTGTTAGGCGTCATTCTCACTTGAGTTGAGTGCCTTTGGCTGTTTTTTTGAGTCTTTACTGAGCATTCATACTGGCATTTTTGCATGTGTTTCTGGCTTGAGCATGTTTTTTAGGTTCTCCCATTAAAATCTACTGGGGCCAAAACACATGAATCTGGCCCAAAAAAAAAGCTCATGAACACTTCTAAGCAAGAAGCTGTAAGCAACTCTACACTTAGGTGTGAATGAGCACCATTGAATATAATGGAAAACCTAGTGTCGAGAATTGAAGTACTTCTCGTAAAGCTTAACATCTCACTTCAAAATGTTCAGGCTTGAAAAGGGTCTTAGGTTGAAACTGCAGTGAGCACAGAGAGTGGGTGATGCTTGAACTTTGGCTCAGATTAGAAGTTAGCTACAATGGCAATAAGATGCAGAAGAAGAGTTAGATTGAAAGTTTTAGTCATGTTCAGCAGCTTGGCAGTTTCAATGGCTTTACTTGTTTGATGTGGATATACTTTTAGTATTACCTATCAATACTTACACACACAGTTACATTTTACACCTACCTTTTTAACTTCATACTTAATAGCGAGTTTTAAGCGACAGAGGCTGGGCCGGCCGTTAGCATCTGTGCTGCTGCAGTTCGAGTCTACATCACCATTTAAAATGGCTTCTACCTCCTCTGTGTTTCTGCACAAATCAAGAAGCCCAACAACAAAGTCCTTGCATTGCATAGACAATTTTTTGTAGTCATTCTAAAAAACATGTAAAACATATTGAAGAGGTGATACAAAATAGTCAGAAAAAAAACAGAGGCCTTCATCAGAGCTTCCTCCCATCCTGTGTCAAGTCCCTTAATAGAGGGTTTTAGTGTGTAGGACAGTTATATGGATCACTTAAACACTTGCTGAGGATTGACAAGTGAAGGATTCTACACCACAGCATAATAACAGAGCAATCAATCAAGCGTCCCTGGGTCAGTATTTACTGCATTGAGACACATTTTAAATGATATTTTTTCCAGTTGAGACGTCATAACCATAACTGTTCTGTAAGTGAATAAGATCTTCAAACCAAGAATATAACCTATTTCCTGATTATTTCCAATAGCTCTGTTATTGTTAACCAAAAATATCAATTTAGCAATTCACACTATTTAGCTAAGTCTACTGCTTGCATGCATATAGTAAAGAAGTTATATAGTTTATACAACCAACGTCTGCCACCCCTTTTTGGACCACTGGCAGACATGCCAAGCTAAATGTGGGCTATGCAGAATTCTAACCCTGTATATAGGCAACCTTCCAATTTCAGTGTAAATAAATATAAAAAAAGATTTATATCTAACACTGGCACATTAGCAGAATTCATCAGTGATTGAACAAGGCAATTACTGTGACTTCTACTGATAGGATAAAAAATATTTTTATTTGCTTACTGAGATGAAAAATTGTCAGCAGTGTTAGAATACATTCCTCTTGACGGACTTTGGTCTTTTACTAACCTAATGTAACCCACTGTATTCTCAAACACAAGTAAAATGTGTGTTAGCTGTGGATAGAAACAATTGAGTACTGTCCATGATACCATCATACACAGTCAGGCCATTAGATACCACCGAGTATGTTCTGACCCAAGAGACAGAGATAAACATCTCGGGACACTAGCAGACACCTTCCATAAGAAAGGTTAAAAGGACAAAACTATCAAGACCAGCATAAACACAGCCTTGAGAACCCGAAGGGAAAATCTACTTCAGTACAAAGAGAAAAAAACAAAAACAACCGTGTACCTCTAGTAACCACATACAACCCAGCACTAGAAGGGATAAGAAAAATAATCAAAGATTTACAACCCATCATAACAGAGGATGGAACTCTGAAAGAAATATTCCAGCAAACCCCAATACTGGCCTTCAGACAACCCCCCAACCTCAGAAATAAACTAATCAGTAGCAAACTTCCTTCTGATTATGATGTCACAAATAATGGAAGCAAACCCTGCAATAAGAAACACTGCAAGCTGTGCAACCAAATCAATCCATCAAAAAGTGTCAGACACTCAAAAGGGATCTTCAATATCTCCGGATCATACAGCTGCACCTCCAGTAATGTTGTGTACCTTATCCAGTGCAGAAAATGCAGCAAAGGATCTTATGTTGGTGAAACAGGACAGAAGTTGCAAACAAGGATGAATTTGCACAGACATACCATCAAGGAACATAAAGAAGATGACCTCTGCACACCTGTAGGACACCATTTCACACAACCAGGCCACAATATGGAAGACCTCAATGTTTTGGTTCTGAAAGGAAAATTCAAATCTATCCAGGAAAGAAAAACATTTGAACTAAGAATGATAATTCTATTTGACACAAAAGATAACGGCCTTAACTTGGACATGGGATTCCTCAACCACTATCCACAGCTTTATGACTATCTATAGCTGAAGCTTGACCCCCTCTGTGTGAGTGTAGTATCCCCCCCCCCTCTCCCCCTCGCTTTTGATGTATCTCTTATCTGTAGCCTTTTTTTTTTCTCAATCCCTTCTAACATTCTGCTTAAACTTTGTGATTTGTAATAGTACTGTTTGGACTTTGAAGAAGGGGACATACCCCGAAAGCTTGTCCTCAAAATTGTATGTTAGTGCAAATAAAAAAGTATCACGGACAGTACTCAATTGTTTCTGTCGCAAATGCACTAATACGGCTACAATCACCTCAAGCAGCTGTGGATAGAGAAAGAAAAGGCTAGAGGTTTATATAGCTTTCTGAGTCTTTGTTAGTAGGATTAAGCTTCACATCCCATTCTGGTGATGCTAGAAACCGAAGGGAAAAGTTGTCACCTGAACTTGAAATGAGGGGAAATATCCCAATGTAGAGACCTATTCCAAATACCCAAGCTCAAAGCTAATGTGTCCCCTCACTTTTCTTGGGGCCCATGTCAACGGGCTTTTGTTTGTATGAGAACCACTTCTCCCCCAAAGCATGGGAGTCAATGGGATTGCAAAAGCAGCATGAAACAGGTTAATGTAGCTTGGAAGGAGGTCAAATACATCTGCTAATGAACTGTTATAGATATAAAAAGCATCTCAAACTGATCTGAAATGCAAGCAGAATGTCTACTGACACAAGCCCAAATCCTGTTCGCACAGTGCCATATTCTATCTCTGGGGCATGAAGGAGGTAAACTCAGACATAGGTAAACCTGAGAGAGGTTCTAATCATTCCCCATACTATTCTCCAAAAAACCCTTAAGACCACTTCAATACCACTTTATGCTGGTATTTGATTAAAACACATTGCTATTTGTATTTAGTAAACTAAAAATGAGTTAAGACTAGCTTCATACCTGTACAGTGCGTTAACATGTGTTTGTATTGAATGGGCTGCCAATGCACGCTAGAGCATCTGTGACCCTTTCTTAGTAACACAATACACAGTAATGCATAGTAGTGTGCCACCTTTTGCTGCAGCATGAGGCACTTTCAGTACTCGCACATTGTGCACTACTGAGCGTTATGGTAACATGTGCGGCAATGTGCCTACTACCACAATGCATGGGTGTGAAGCCTGCCATATAGTTTATTATAAACAAACATGCCCAACATTCATATCAAACCCTAGAATGCTTTTATGCTGGCTGACCTCTATGCAGATCTAAAAATACGAGGGGCGTTCAAGTCAAACTGCTACTTTTAAGTTTATATAATAAAAGAACAAATTTCAAGGAGTGGAAACTGCATTTATTTTTCGACATACTCCCCTGTTACATTTGTACACTTATCCCATCATTTAACTAATGCCTAGAAAACTTCAGCATAGAAAGATTTGTCAGTATGCTTGAACCAACCTAGGACAGCTTGCTTCACTTCGCCATCAGTGCTAAAATGCTGACCTCTGAGGAACTCTTTTACCGCTGGTTCACATATCCGCATTCCTGGGGGTTGTGTTTTGCGTGGGCATGAGAACCCATTCATGTGAATGGACTCGCGTGCCCGGGACACACAGGGAAGAAGTCCCTGCACTTCTTCTGAAAACGCAGCCTGCACGGGAACCTCGGTTCCCAGTACGGTTGCTATTTCCAGTGCGGGTGGCGTGCCATTAGAAATAATGGCACCCGTCCGCAGGTCCGCATTCTTCTGTGTGGTTGGTGTGACTGCACGGATTTTTTTCCCGATCTGCAGCGGCACCACCCGCACAGATGTGAACCTAGCCTTAGGGGTTCAAACAGGTGTAAATCACTCAGAGCGAGGTTCGGGCTGTAAGGGGAATATATTCCATCTGAGTTGTGTTAATGTGTGTTGAGCAGTATGAGCTCGTGCGTTGTCCCGGAGAAATGATGCCATCCAGAAAATCCTGGCCTTCCCTGTCAAAACGCTCCTTCAGTGAAGTGCAGACTTCAACTCTTCTGTGTTCTTCTCAAAAGCGGAAAGCTGTCTTGGTACCATTTCGAAAATGCAAATGTTTGTGAATGATTGTGTTCACCATTCTCACAGAAAGATTCTTCCCTTGTGCAATTTCACAACAGGCTATGCATTGGTTATCCAGAATCAGGCGTTCAACGTGCTGATTGTTCACAGGAATGACTGCTGTGGGCTGAGAACCATCGCAGCTTGAATTCTCACTGCCGGACATATGGCCATCTTTAAAATGTATACAACATTCAAATATCTTACTGTGGCTGGGTGTCTCATCACCATACTGTGCTTGAAGCCTTCTGTAGATATCCGCGGGTTTTGCACTTTCATTCACAAGAAACTTCATCACCACATGCTGTTCCATGCATGCCTAATGGTCTCTGGAATGACAGTGCGCCCCCTATGAGTAATAGGACACACTTTCCACTTACTACTGCATGTAATACCACCACACTAGCATCCCTTTTTAGTTGCGGTTTGACTTGAACTTCCCTCGTATATATGAATTATATAGTGTTTATTCAAATATTACATGTATTTTTAAAGCTGAAATAGAAGGAAAGATGAAATAACTCCGAACTGACATATCTACAAAATAATTGCAATCCTGTATTTGATACAGATAAGGGGGTTCTTCAAAAAGTTTCCATACTTTATTAAACTCTATTTAGTAGGAAAAAGAGCAGAAACTTTTTGAAGACTCGTACAAAGGTTGTGGAGCTCCCTGCAGTCTATATTGCAGGTGCGTAGTAGAGATGCCTACATCCCAAGCCTGGCTTCACAGAGTCAAAACGATTTTGGTAGGTAATACACTTTCCATATACACATTGATACTGAGCACTTAGGGTTCAGCTACATTTCTATGAAATGTAAGACCATTTTTTCCTAGAACTGTTTTACAACACCTTCAGTTTTATTTGTGCTCACGCATCATTCTTTGTTTTACTATATCATATATTTATTTTACTTGTTCTTTGAAAACTTGTCAGACAGGAGGTTCTGTCACCAGTGCACTTTGCCAGTAACATAATTGCTAAAATTCATGGGACATTATCAAATAGAGTCAATTACTTCTTGCTTGAACTTGTGGTATATTGCTACCTCTTCAGCCACTGAGCAGTGGTGATGCACCTTCTACTAGTGATAATCTAATCTGAATTTCAGTGATTCAGGAAATTGTCAGTCTGACATGTCCCTAACTCCAACATGTGGAACCAGAACAGCACTGGCTTGTGGTTCACAATGGGCACTCATTAATTGATTGTATTTATAAGGCCCATAGTCAATACCACCATATTAATGTTATGTATGTAGCACTACCCCTTAGGAGTCACTG